TAATAATAATAATAATAATAATAATAATAATAATAATAATAATAATAATATAGGAAATACTCTGATGGTCATTTCGAAAAATTTCGAAAAATCCTTTCTCAGCGAGCACCTAAAAGCCAAGAGGAACATACATACATTGCAACTTTCAAGTTTGTAGGCTTTATGGTTCTGGAGATTTTGTGATGATGCGTGAGTGGTCTTTCGTTTTTATATAGATAGAATATATTTTCCTTCCTCAGGCAGAATGCCGGAATTTTATCAAAGTGCTGCTTCTCCGCAACAACAACGTGCTCTTTGTGTGTGGGACGAATGCCTTCAACCCCGTTTGCTCCGATTACAGTGTGAGTACCTGATGCCGTTCACTGAGCTTCCACTGCATCACTTCCCAACTGACAAGTACAATCAATCCATCGGAATAGAGCTGTAAGGGGCCTTGTAAGGTCTTCCAGCCCACCCCCCTCTCCAAAACCGTCTTCCTTCTGTCCCTCTTTCCTTCTGTCCAACCGTATCTCTTATCTGTCAGTCTGAATTAACAGAGTTGGAAGGGATCTTGTAAGTCAGCTATTTCCGGTGGTTTGCCAACCGGTTGGCCGGGGACCACTGGTGGTCTGCGAGAAAATTTTGGTGGTCCGCAGAGAAATGTCCCCCCCGCCCAAAGCAATTCATCCAGGCTGTGCGGGATCGCTGCCCACGTGGCCCACGGGAACACAAGGCTTGCGTCGCTTGCATTGTGACCAACACAAGGGAGTGAGGGGAGGGGGGAAAGGGTGGAGGGGGGGGGAACTTGTCCCACTCGCCCCACGCGCCTGGCCTGGCCACCGGGCTGCTTCTTTCCGCTTCTTCCTTCTTCTGCTTTCGGCTGCACGCAAGGAAAGCAGCCAAAGTCTTTCTTTCTCTCCCCGAAACTCCACCAGAAATGAGTCTTTGGGACCCTGCAAGGCCTCCTGCTCCAAGAGGCTGCAAAGACTCATTTCTGGCGGAGTTTGGGGGGAGAGAAAGAAAGACTTCGGCTGCTTCTGCTGTTTTCCTTGCATGAAGCCAAAAGTCTCTCTCTCTCCCCGCTCCCTGAGAATGGAGCTGGAGACGATATCCTGCGATCCCAAATAAAGAACGATCGATCGGTAGGAAAACGGGGTGGAGAATTTTCCTGCAGACTTTTTGGGGGGATTTCCCCAGGGTCTCTGGTCCGCGGGATTTAAAATGATGAGTTTGGTGGTCCCTGAGGTCCAAAAGGTTGGCGATCCCTGGCCTAGTCCAACCACCTATCCAAACCATCTTCCTTCCTTCCTTCCTTTTCTTTCATTTTCCTTCCTTCCTTCCCTCTTCCGTTCTGTCCATCCCTATCTCTGTCTGTCTGAATTAACAGAATAACAGAGTTGGAAGGGGCCTTGGAGGTCTTCTAGTCCAACCCCCTATCCAAATCGTCTTCCTTCCTTCCTTTTCTTCCATCTCTCTTTCCTTCCATCCCTCTTTCCTTCTGTCCATCCCTATCTCTGTCTGTCTGTCTGTCTCTCTGAATTAACAGAATAACAGAGTTCAAAGGGGCCTTGGAAGGTCTTCTAGTCTAACCCCCTGCTCAAGCAAGGGACCTTACACCATTCCAGACAACCGGCGGTCCAGACTCTTCTTAAAAACCTCCAGTGATGGAGCAGCCACAACTTCTGGTGGCCGGCGGTTCCACTGGCTAATCGTTCCCTCGCTGGTTAATTCTCCGAAACTTCCTAACAGCAGGAGGTTGGACTAGAAGACCTCCAAGGTCCCCTTTCCAACTCTCTTATTCTATTAATTAACCAGAGGAACTCCTTGCCTCCAGAAGTTTGTGTCAGCTTCATCACCGGAGGTTTTTAAGAAGAGACCGGACAGCCACTTGACCGAGATGGTATAGGCAGTGGCGGCCAACCTTTTCAGCGCCGAGTGCCGAAACGGGAGCGCGCACCTGCGCCAGAAACCGGAAAGGGGATTTTATCCCTTGGAAACCTGACAGCAGCTCCTTGACACCTGCGTGCTTAGCTTTCCCGGCACACGCATACGTGCCAGCCACCTGGTCTTCCAGTCTCTAACGCACATGCGTGCGCAAAGACCAACTGCCCCAGCGCACCCATGCACTCCGGGAGCTGCTCCTCCGGTGCTCCCGCGTGCATAAAGACCAGCATGCGCACTGGAACCTGGAAGAGCAACAGGCAATGGCTAGCACGCCCAGAGGGAATGGCTCTACATGCCACTTCCGGCATGCGTGGCATAGGTTTGCCAACACGGAAGAGACCCTTGGAGGTCTTCTAGACCATCCCACGGCCCAAGGAGCAGACTCTATACAATTAGAGTCAGCCCCTCAAATACTGGCACGCTGCTATCATGTCTCCCCTAGTTTCCTCTTTTCATTAAACTAGACATGCCCAATTTCTGCAACCGTTCTTCATATATTTTAGCCTCCAGTCCCCTAATCCTCTTAGTTGCTCTTCTCTGCCCTTTTTCCAAAGTCTCGACATCTTTTTTTTCAAAACGTGGCGACCCAAACTGGATGCAATTTATTCCAGGTGGGCGCAGGTACCTCCTGGACTTATAGCCATTCATTTTAGGGACTGTTTGAAGCGACGACGGTCTCAAAAGTGAAAACTGGTCATAAATCACTTTTTTTCAGCTTTTTTTTTTCGCGACTTCAAAGGTTCACTGAAACCAAGAGTTGTAAGTCGAGGAATTGCCTGTAGAGGTTGCATGGTTCCCTAAATAGTTCCCTGTACGGTACCCAGGAGTGTCTGCAAGATTATGGGGCGAATAATCAGGACGTCAGCCACAGTGGCGTGATGCACATTTAAAACAAAACAAAAAAACAAGAAGAGCTTCAGTCATTGCCCCGTGGCCGCCATCTTGACTTTTTTGACCTACCTGTGCCTCCCGAGTCCGCTGCTTGAGGTTTGTAAGCTTAGGGTTTTGTACAGATAACAGATAATCAGAGTTGGAAGGGACCTTGTAGGTCATCTAGTCCAACCCCCTGCCTAAGCAGGAGACTCTACACCAGTGGTGGCTAACCTTTCGGGGCTCCTGTGCCAAAAATTGCTTGCGCACACATGTGCCAGCACCCAGGAGGCAATGTGGGGGCCCCCCATGCCCACTGCGCATGCACACGTAATTCCCTGCCCCCGCCGCCCGCTTACCTGCACTGCGCCTCCCAGCTGATTTTGGGCCGGTTTGAGGCCTTTTTTTGGCCTCCTGGAGGCTTGAGGAAGGCTTCTGCAGGCTTTGCAGGCCAAAAATTAGACACATTTTCGTCACTTCTGGTATTTTTGGAAAAACAGGAAGTGAAAAAAACGGGGCTAGTTTTCGGCCTGCACAGGCTGCAGAAGCCTGCAGAAGCCTCCCTCAAGCCTTTGGGAGGCCGAAAAAGGCCTCAAACCGGCCGAAAATCAGCTGTGAGGCACGCGCATGTGCAGTGAGTTAAGTTTGCCCGCGGCTCGTGTGCCGACACAAACGGCTCCGTGTGCCACCTGTGCCACGCGTGCCATAGGTTCACCATCATGGCTCTACACCATTTCTGCCCCAGAGCTAAGCCAGTCCTGGTCTCTCCTGGGTTGGGGTTCCAGGTCAGTCTTAACCCGTTCTCTTCCCAACAGATGGACTACCTAGAACCGATGGGGGACAATATCAGCGGCATGGCCCGGTGCCCTTACGATCCCAAGCACGCCAACGTTGGCCTCTTTACAGGTCAGTGCGCTGGGAGGGAGGCGCAGGTGGGTGGTCATTGTTGTTTTTCTCACTGCGTCAAGAATGGAAATGAAAATTCTTCCTACCTCCCACCTCTCTTCCGAAGATCTCCAAGTGGTACACTTTCCATCCCCCCAAGAAATCAGAAGAAATCTTCCTGCAATGGCTTAGGAAGGCCTGCTGGATATATCTTTTGTCTACCTTTTAATAACACTGGTTGAGTTGGAAAGGATGCCCCCAAATGCCTGATTTGGCTCCTGGAGGGTCCCGAATGACTTCTTCCACCTCCCCACTTCTTCTCTCCCTCCCCTCCCCCTCCTACCTCTCCTCCTTCACCTCTTCTCCCTTCTTCTTTTCCTCCCTTCCTTTTCCCCTTCTCTCCTCCTCCTTCCCTCTTCCTCCCCTTCTCCTTTATCCTCCCCTTCTCCTCCTCCTCTTCTCCTTTATCTTCCCCCTCCTCCTCCTACCTATCTCCAACCCCTCCCACTTCTCTTCCTCCCCCTTCCTCTCCTTCTCCCCCTTCCCTCCTCCCCCTCCCCCTTCTCCTTCTCTCCCTCCTGCCCTCCTCTCTCTCTCTGCAAACAATACCTTCTAGCACTTATGATACTCCTTAGCTGAGTCCTGCAAGAAAATAATCGAGCTCAAAAATCACCAAGGTCCACCCCCTCCTCCTTTCCGCAAACCCCGCTCCCTTCGAGCACCGATGACGTTACCTAGCTGGGTCATGAAATGTCTGCAAGAAAACCACCCAGCTCAGAGAGCACCAAGGACCCCACGGTTCAACCCTGAGCCACAAAGAGCACTTAGCAATAGCCCTTAGACTTATATACCGCTTCACGGTGCTTCTACAGCCCTCTCTAAGTGGTTTGCTGAGACAGCCTATTGCCCCCAACAATCTGGGTCCTCATTTTATCAGCCTCGGAAGGACAGAAGGCTGAGTCAACCTTGAGCCTGGTCAGAATTGAACTGCCAAATTGCAGGCAGCCAGCAGTCAGCAGAAATAGCCTGCAGTACTGCACTCTAACCCAGTGGTGGGATTCAAAAAATTTTTATTACCGGTTCTTTTGGAAATGTCATTAGATACTGGGTTCATATTACCATATGTGAACATGTGCAGAAGCTAAAAGATATTGGACTAAAATCCACACATGGTTGCAAAAAATGACAAAGAAACACGTAGACTTCAAACCAGAGATATTTTTTTGGGGGGGGGATTTTATTGGAAATATACAGGAGGGAATTGAAATATTGATTGTAAATATTTTAACAGTGGCTAGAATTGTATTTGCTAAAAATTGGGAAAATGAGAAAATACCATCGCAGGAGGAAACTATTAAGAAAATATTGGAATGTACTGAAATGAGTAAATTGACATTTGAAATCAGAAAACAAGAAGATAAGCAAATTTATAAGATATGGGATTTATTTTATCAATGGTTAGAAAACAAATTATGGAAATACGTTAGAGAATTTTACAATATAGGGATAATAGAATTATACAGAATATAATATAAAGATGTATTACTATTGGATGGATTTAGGATGATCATATGAATTGTTGTATGATAAATTAATTTAACATTTTGAATATCATATAAAATGAAGGAATAATAGTTTAGCCAAGTAAATGATTAACAATGATAATAATGTATATACATATATATTAGATTGATAATATGAGAATTTATACCAATTGTAGGTGAGGACTATGGAGAGGATGCACAAAAAAATTATCACTTACCGACACACTGTATGCATGTAACTGGAAGATGGTTTTAAGTTTTGTTTGTATATTTCTCCAAAAAAAAAAAAATCTTTTTAAAAAAAATATATTACCGGTTCTGTGGGCATGGCACGGCTTGGTGGGCGTGGCAGGGGAAGATTACTGCAAAATCTCCAACCCCTCCTCACCCCACTAACCTGCTTTCCAGCTCCAATCTCCTGTGCAGGGCAACCAAAGGAGACCCAGCCAATCAGCTGGGATTCAATGGGAGGCGGAGAAGAGATGGGGGCGGGGCCAGTCAGAGGCGGGATTTGCCGGTTCTCCGAACTACTCAAAATTTCCACTACCGGTTCTCCAGAACCGGTCAGAACCGGCTGAATACCACCTCTGCTCTACACCACGGCGCCACTCTCAACTCTTTCCTATTTTTGACTCGTCATAACTTCTTCAGCACTTTTCTTGTCTTTCTTTCCTTCTTTTTTTTCCCTCTCTCGTCTGGGTAGGAGGGATGCTGTTCACAGCCACGGTGACCGACTTCCTGGCCATCGACGCGGTGATTTACCGCAGCCTGGGAGACAACCCCACCCTGCGCACGGTGAAGCATGACTCCAAGTGGTTTAAAGGTAAAGGAACACGGGGCGCGGATGGTATTGAGGTGGCGGAAATGAGTGAAAATGAGAGGCACAACAATCTCTTTCCCAAAACACTGGGGTTTTTTTTTTTTAAGCCAACTATTTTTTTCTGAAATGGTATCTAGGCCCTATACGGTCTCCTGCTTAAGTAGGTGGTTGGACTAGAAAACCTCCCAAGGTCCCTTCAAACCAGGGTTGGGATTGAAATTTCTTAACAACCGCTTCTGCGGATGTGGCTTGGTCATGTGACTTGGTGGGCGTGGCTTGCTGACTGGGGGTGACTTGGTAGCCACATGACTGGCTGGGCTTATATGTAAATATTATAAATATTTATGTAAATATTGAATTTTTTTATTAAAAAAAGAGCAACTTTTACCCCAAACCAGGCAAAGCAGGCAGGCAGATGGAGTCGCTCACAGAATCACAGATTCACTCAGAGATCTACCTTTCTGCAATCTGCTATCTGAGTCTGCACTGAAAAATAGAAGCTTCAGTCCTAAGGAAGGTTCAGCTCTGCTTTTAGATTAGCTAGAAAGCAAGAAATCCAATGATTTCCTGTTTTCTAGCTCATCTTAAATCTCCCGGCACAGCAGAACAACTTGATGGTCATGGGGAAAAAAGGAAAAATGGCAATTTAGCAGGCAAGTTTGATAGTGCATATGCCAGGTAAGCAGTGAGCGGGCGGGGCAGGGCCAGCCAGTGGCACAATTTGCCAGTTCTCTGAATTGGGCAGAATCATAACAACCGGTTCTGTAGAACCGGACCGACCAGGTAGAATACCACCCCTGCTTCGAACTTCTGTTATCCGATGTCTCTGGAAGACATCCGGTTGTTAAAAACTGCAGTGAGGGATCTGGCAAACTCCCCAACTCCAAAAAATCACAAAAAATAAGCTTCCCTAATAAAGGGACTTAATTGATGGAGGAGATTTCAAGGCACTTAAATTTGAGCAGACAATTATTTCATCTCATCTATTTCTGCGCCACCGTTTCGTGGAGAGGACGCAAACCAGTTAAAAGAATGAAATATACCCAGGCTAGGATTGCAAAATAAAATGGCATATCAAATAAACTGGGAAAAGATAATCTAAAACTTTATGAGCCAGATTTCAAATGCCTGAAGGAATAAAAAGATGAGGTTTTTTTTAACTGTCAAAGTTTAAAAAAAAATTAAACAAATAACCTGAGTTTTGCTCTCAATTGCTATATTTATGCTCCCAGAACAGAATGTGAGCATCCTTGAGAAGGCAAGCTGTTTTTTTAAAAAAATAAATAAATTAGGAAGCCCTAGGAAAACATCTTAAAACTAGAGGCAAAAAGTACAGAGGCAATATTTAAAGCCAAATTAATATTTTATTAATTTATTCCCAGTCTTGCAGCATTCACTAAATATACATGTACAAAAGCTAATTGTAGCCTTAGCTCCTGTTCCTTCCAGTCAGACAATTCAAAGATTCTGGAATAATATTAAAGGTTGCCTTGGAGAGAGAGAGAAAGTGTGTGTGTGTGTGTTTGTGTGTGTGCGTGTGTGCGTTCGTGCACATCTGTGTGCATATGTGTGTTTAAAATTGTAAAACCGGCAAAAAAAAAAATCTCAGGGACAGATTATGGAGGCCAGGGATCATGAGTGAGAAGAAGAATAGAATGGAGTGGAATGGAATAGAATAGAATAGAATAGAATAGAATAGAATAGAATAGA